CAGCTTGAGCCTTCAACGATACAGAAATGAATTATGGTTCATATAACTCACTATTTTTTCTGTGTAAACTCGTAATTCATTTAAAAAAAAAGTCCGTATACATAGGGGAATGTACAAAAAGTGCACTTTCGTGTACACCAAAAATTGCTCTTACGGTTTTAATGAAGGGTTGATCTAGCTATCCAATCTAGCGAGCCAAAAAAACTAAGATTGTCCCAGACCCTATTTAATTGGTCAACACAAATCACTCTTAATCTCTTACTTTATATATCAAATATTTATCAAATTTGATTCGGGTTTTTGCGAGTTTGTAAAACTTTTAATGTAATTTTTGAATATATAATTTTTTTTCTAAAAATAATTTGAGAGCGGACATGGATCTATTTGCTTTATCTGTCAGTCAAACATCGTAAACCAAATTGCCTCAATCTTAGTGGGACGGAGGTAGTAATATACTACCTCCGTCCCGCTAGAAGGTTCTCATAGCGAAACGCACGGTTATTTAGGTGATAATTAAATAAAGTACTTCGGGTATATTTTGAGAAATAATTTTAATAGGTACTCCCTCCGTCCCAATTTGATGATCCTATTTCTTTTGGGCTCAAAGATTAAGGAAGTGGTTGAAAAGGTAAAAGTTGTGGTTGAGATTTGAGTAGAAAAAGGTGAAATGATGTGGACCACATATTTCTTTCCAAAAAGGGAAATGGGGCTATCAATTTGGGACGGCCCAGAAAGTAAATACGGGATCATCAAATTGGGACGGAGGGAGTATATATTATAATGTGTTAGTATTGATAACTAATTTGTCACTTAAGATTGTTAATTGTTTCCTAAAATGGAAACGGGAACCTTCTAATGGGACGTTCAAAAAAGGAAAGTGGGAACCTTCTAACGGGACAGAGGGAGTATAAAAATAACTTCAATTTCACTAAAAAGTAAATATAAATCAAACCTTTTCTCACTTTTCTGGTATTTCAAATTTTCTACAAGAATGAGAATTATAATCCAAATTCATAATTGTTCTCTACGGGTTTTCATAGACTGATATGACTTGATAATCACATTATTGACAATTTTGAATAAGATGTCTTTTTCTACATAAACAAGAAGCCTATCATTCAGTCAGTCAGCACTCATTTTCATTTGATTATTCAATCTATCCTTCATTATACAAAAAAAATAACCCTTTGAACACTAGAGATTGCAACAGGAAGAATCAATACCAAAGTAAAAAACAGTGGGATTAATACATACCCTAACTAATAGGATATTGGGATGGATGGATGGGATGGACTCGTGGACGAATAGATGAATAATGGAATTAATACTCACTAATCACAAATTGCAATCTTATTAATACTAACGAGATTAATACTACAACAAAAACAAGACCCAAACCTCAATCCCAAAAGATTTTGAGGTCATTTAACTAATGAGATTAATGCTTAACAGTGAAATTTAAAAACTTGACGAAGTGCACCACAATGTAGAACTAATTATACGATGTAGAACTAATAATGATTAAGCCCAATTACCCCATTATTCATACTAATCAGATGAAGATAATATGATTCATATGAAAAGGGTGCTGATTAATTATCTATAAAAGTAGCAACTAAAAGGAAACTAACCTCAAGACCTAGCGAAGTAGCGCAGATTTTACGCTGAGCTTATATCTGCTGAAGAGACAAAGATGCAGACGACGGGAGGTGCCGCGCAGTCGAGGATTAGGGCGGCGTGCGTGTGTGGCGACTCGGCGCAGGCGATGGCTTGAGGTTGTGAATGGTCGGGAGATGGTCGAAGGACTCGAAGGATGCAAGGCTCGAAGCCTGATAAGTGTTTGGGTCAATTCGAGGTTTTTTCTTTTATTCCGGATTCTTTGAATTCATATGTGCCTGAACTTGGACAAAATAAAATTGTGAAAATTACGGCTTTGAATAAATATTGGGCTTGTTTGATACGAAGCTGTTAGCGTTTCACATAGACAAATATTGAACCAGTATAGTACCGGACTGGTATGGTACTGAATCAAACAATGAGATTTCGAACAGATATCAAAATTTTTATCCTGAATCCGACTACATTAATTCCAAATCATGCCATCACTGGTTTTCATAAAATCAGAACATGCATCCTAAATTTAAGCGTACATGCATATAGTGGATTTAAGTTTTGTCATTTCTGTTTTTTACATCTCAAATTACATCTAAAATTAAGTAAATGTAAACGTACATATGAAATTAATGTTTTGTGATTTATGTTTCGTACTTCTATAGTTCATCTGAAATTTGTTAATAATGTAATATGAAAATAGATAGATTGTGTGGATTTTTGGAGGATTACTAAATTTTAATTTTTCTTGAAACAATTGAAAAAGGTAACATTGTTTTGTATTGATATGACATTGTACGGCCACCTAGTTTGAAAATGAAAACATATCGAACGGGCTTAGGTGTAAGACCGAATCGAACTGAACCGTTTAATAGTCACGGTACGAGCACAGATTCAGCAAAATATTGGACCATCCCGGACTGTGCCTACCGTGGGGGATTGTGTTAACGAGTTGTCAGAAGATGTTTGATAATTTAGCTATTTGGTCATAACAATTAGTAGAAATGTCATATTTCAAAACGTTAACTCAGAAATCTTCTATTTGCAGTGTTTCCATTTTAGCAGTTTCGTTCAAAAATGTTAGGACCGAACAACTATATACGGAGTATCAAGCAAACAACGTTTTCACTTGTTAAAAATGCTAAAATAAGTCAAATCCTTATTTTTTGACTTGTTTTTTTTACTGAAATGTCATTCCTAAACGCCCTGCTGTCAAAATGTCAAGTAAACAATTCAACCTTTCTCGGATATATTTCTCTGCTGTGCACTGGTATATGATACACCCTTCGTGTAAACAAGTTTTCACTTGTTTATTCCTCCTTGTTTCCGTACCGACCGTACTACGTATGTCATTACTAAATTGCTCCACGAAGGCTCCTTTTAATTTCAAGAAACAAGTTTGTGCAAAAATAATTTTTCTCGAAAACGTATTCCTAAAATTCTAAAAATTAAGCCGTTCAATCAATGTATATCACTCCGTATTAAATAAGTCTGCACAAGTGCACAATGTATATTGTTTTAAATTTTTCATATGCAACTTCAAAACATAGTGAATGGTACATTTGAGCTTAGAGTGAAAATGAAGAGGAAGAAGAAACACAGTAAACTTACTTAAGCAATAGATAAATAAAAAATAAGACAGATGAATTAGTTCTTGTAGAATAACTAAATACATCAATACCTCTTTAGATTACTAATTTATCAATTGATCAATTTATAATCAACACTTCTCTAGAATTGGAATGACAAAGTCACCATCTACCTTGCTACTTTTGTTTTCATTCCCTTTGACAATCCTTGTTTCTTTCTCCTGTACTTCCCTTTCCAAGTTGAATCCTCTAGTATTTCGGCTTCCCATTAAGATTACCTCCAACAACTTTCTTCTAACATTGTAAATTCTGTTTGGCTCAATCAAACAACCTTGACTGTCATACGCTTCTCTCAGATAAACCATTTGAGAATCCCCCTTTGTAGATATGTAAAAAATCCCCGGATGGTTCAAAAGCAACTCACGGATATTCACTTCGATTCCTAGATCCTTCCGAAAATGAGCTAACCGTTCAACTCGAACCATCTTCTCTACGGTTAAACTGAGGAGTTCGTGAATGATTCCCACAGCTCTCTTTTCATACCTCTCTACTCTTCCACAACTACGAACATTAATGATGTTCCTTTTCTCATATGGCTTGATGTATGACATTCGTTGTCAATTGTTCAGTTTCTCTTTAAACCCTGCCCTTTTCTGAATCCTGTTGGGAAATTTATAGGGAATGAATATTTGATCTCAAATTCACTTAACCACCTCTCTGTATACTCGTTTTCCCGCCACTTTCCGACCACAGCACAAAGTAGCCATGCCACCGTCAGTTAGGATTGCATATGACAGTTGACCAATTTCACAAATTTGGATGAAAAGGAAAACCAGGGGAAACCATAGCTTGCAATATGCTTCATAGAAACGGAAATAATGTGAGAATTAAAAACATTAATGGGTTATTTTGAAGATACTTTTGTACGAATACTAGAATTCAGTGTTTGCAAAATAAATATTTTAATGTATAAAAAAATAACATATAGAATCACTTTTTGTTTTTATTAAAAGGCTAAAGGGTCAAATAGGTACATGAACCAACTTAAAGTGTTCAATTAGACCCTTATATAGGAGGCTCTGCCCGGCCGTCGCCAATTGAGGAGGTTCCCGGTGGAATTTTTTGATGAAATTTTTTGAGCATCTTCTTCATTAAGTCTAGTTTACCCATATCAAATTTCAGCTAAAAATTAAATCGGAAAGGCAGTCAAATGATTTTCCGAAATGTATTGCGCTGTTTAACTGCACAGTTATCTTCAAAAAATCATTTGACTGCCTTCCCGGTTGAATTTTTAGCTGAAATTTGGTATGTGTAAACTAGACTTAATGAAGAAGATGCTCAAAATATTTCATTAAAAAATTCCACCGGGAACCGCCTCAATTGGCGACGGACGGGCAGAACCTCCAATATAAGGGTCTAATTGAACACTTTAAGTTAGTTCATGTACCTATTTGACCTTTTAGCCTTATTAAAATAGCTCCCAATCTAAGCAAGTAAAATCTCTCTAAAAGAGACCAGAAGTAAGCATTGCGTAAACAAACAAAAAATTGGAGATCATCATATCAACAAAATTCCTTTCATTGTTACATGATTTTGTCCAACCAACTCATACCCATCAAATACAAAGATATAAACTCATAAATAAGTTGTCAGGTTTAGAACCAAACAAATTCCTCAAGTTTATATGAATGCCCTTTTTTATTTACAGAAATGAATTTGTAGAAACTGTCTTTTAGAAAATATTTTCCTAAAATTAAGATGTTCAATATGCATAATATTTAACCAAAAAAATGTTGAGGAGCTATTGAAAGACTGCAGCCACTTTCTTCAGATAACACAGATTTATGTGTGTGTTGTTCTAATACTGATGACAAATCAGGACCGTTCATTACACATATTTCACTGCTCTTTTCACTCACAAATCACGCACACCTTAATATTTTTTGCACTACATAGAAGAAAATGCAGTCCTCAACCACAATTGAAGTATTTTTTTTTAACAGTTACACGGGAATTCCACAAATTGATCAATATTAAGATTGAAAGCCAATAACAGGATAATAATAATAATAAGAGCCTAAAGCAGGAAAGACAAAACTGTAATAGAACAACAATGACAGAGAGAGGTTTTGAATCTGCCATTACAACAAAATCTTTGAGCAAAGCCCACATTCTGCTCGCTCACTCACTCTTCTTGTTTCTCTTGCTCTTTGGCTTGATCGCCTCTTCTTTGGACTTCATCCCAACCACACTCTTTCTCTTTCCCTTCTTCACATCTGATTCATCTTTAGCCTTCAGGGAAGACTTCATCTTTTCCTTCTGTTTCTTATCCTCTGTGTCATCCCCCCTTTTCACTTTCTTTCTCTTTTTTTCACCATTCAAAACCTGACCTTTCTGAGATTTTGCCTTCTGGTCTTTCTTGGCTTTAAGCTTCGTAGGGACCAAATCATGCTCTTCCTCCTCCTTTCCCTTCCCACCCTCATTTTCGTCACTATCAGCATCACTCTCTCCTTCCACACTTCCCTCGTTAGTGTCTAAATCCGTATTAATCTTTTGGATATCATCCTCAACATCTCCATCATCACTCACTGATTTGATTTCACCTATTTCAGCATCCATATATCGCACTGCACTAAGCCTCCCTTTCCTCTTTTTCTTGCCTGTCTCAGGGGTTTTGCCGGTCTCCTTAGCCTCAAGACTGCCTTCACCCTCAACCTCCTTTACCCCCATAATTTTGAGCTTCAAGTCAGGCAGTGCTTGATACAAAGGCAATGCAAGAGAGCCAGTTAGTCTCAAGTGAAAGCTCCTCAGGCCACCCCATCCCTTCGGAACAAAGCCAACAACACCATTAATGGCTTCCAAAACATTGTCGACAACCTCACCACTATCCATTGACAGCTTCCCAACCTTCATCACACTACAGGTCCCGGTGGATATATAAAACAAGCCCGACCCGCAGGCCCTCTCAACCTGAGCCTTCCAGTTCTTCTTCGTCAAGTCTACAGGCAAAGGCAGCTTCTTTTTCTTGAAAAAGATCTTTCCCAGAAGCTTCGGGAGGAAATGAACAATCCTCTTGTCCACCAAGAACACGTCATAGGAACCGCAAAGTTTCCTTTTTGCCTCATAAGCCTTGTAATCTGTTCTCAGCTTTGAGAGCTTCAGAACTTTGCTTATGGGTACATCCTGGGACTTGATTATCTTCTTCGCTTCTGCTGAAGTCAGGTTGGAATTGGACCGGTCGTCGATGATGAGACAGCGCTCAGATGACTGGTCGTGGATGGGGTGCGGTAGGGCGACTCGGAAAGCATTGGTTCGAGCCATCGGAGGGACTTTTTTGAGGGTGATGGTGAGGTGGATGAACTCGTCTTGTGGTAGTAGCTTCGGCGCTTGTTCCTTCGATTGTGCGTCCTTCCATTTGAGCAAGGCAGTAACAGCTTTCTCCACTGTGCCTCTTGTCACGTTACCGCCGGTGACGGCGGCGGCTGGCAGTGTTTCTGTGGCCATAGCACCGCAGTGACGATTCTGAAAAGGTAGAAGGGCCACAATTAAAGTATTATATACACATAAATAATGGAATAAGTTAGGGCCTGTTTACTAACAGACACAGTTTTCTGTTTTCAAGTCTCCAGTTTTTTGTGATCGTTTTCCAGTTTTTTTGTTTTTCAAATCAGCAAACATGATTACTAGAGTTTTTCAATTTTGCATTTCTTCTTTATCAGAAAACGTTGACTTAATATTTGGAAAAGAAAGTAACAATTATAAACATTTGAAATAACAATTACAAAAATAGTTACTTCTTATTACTCTAGTCTCTTACTACATTTTCGAATACAATCAAAGGTAAAAGAGTTATTTAATCTATTAATACGTAGCATTAAAAATAGTTACTTACATCTGTTCACAAGGCACCTTATTGGACGCAAAAGTAACTATCCATAGCCTCATCATATTCCTAATCCATCTCCTTCTACTCATTTTTTAAAATAATAATAAAAAGACCAGATGTTTAGCTAATTTTATCAAAAAATGAAGTTGTTTTGTTAACAAGATACCATTGAACCCCCAAACACAATGCGGTAGGATATGTTTTTGTACAATCCTAACAAGCATATACGAGTCAATATTCAAGTTTGCAGCATCTACAAAAGCCTAGTAAACAACAACTAATTTAAGTCACAATAAGATAGTTTTTACAGCCCTTGGGGCTCACTATTGTTGGCCGCAAATGAACTAAGTGAAGAAAAAGTTCAGTACAATAATCCCAAAAGCAAACCTTGTTAACAAAACAGGGGCTTGACTTGTTTTTTACAAACTGCATATGGTGGACTGCGAACAAATCTAATCTACTAACTGCTAACAAATCCAATCTACTATGGACCAATTTTTTTGCTTCCAAAACAAATGTTCCCTTATGAAGACATATTAACTTTTGTTAAGAAATAAAAATGCTTGAAACATGTTAATTACTAAACTGACCAGTTGAGAGCCCATTCAGATGGAGTTTTTTTTTTACAAAACGTTCTGAAGGGTGGTGTATATCTTGACATATATTTCAGACTAAAGATCATTACTAGTATTTACTAGAAATGAAAATGCACACAAATATTTGTTTTCCACACGATGAAACACAGCAAACAATATAAAAGAAGACAGAAAAGGAATTTCAGATTTGTTCACAATTGAAAAGTTGTCCGTTTTGAGCTTTGAGTCGTTCCCATAAAAAATGTTTGCATTCACCATCATCACAAATTAAAAGAAAATGCTCAAATAAGCTGTCATGTTATAACAAAAAAGGTCAATCAGGTCATGCTAAATAATCACCAAATCTGATATATAAACTTTTGTGGGAAAGGTGTAGCTTTTTCTTGTTATTGTCAATCTTAGTGGGACGGAGATAGTAATATATAAAAATAACTTCAATTTCACTAAAAGGTAAATAAAAATCAAACCTTTTCTCAGTTTTCTGGTATTTCAAATTTTCTACAAGAATGAGAATTATAATCCAAATTCATAATTGTTCTCTACGGGTTTTCATAGACTGATATGACTTGATAATCACATTATTGACAATTTTGAATAAGATGTCTTTTTCTACATAAACAAGAAGCCTATCATTCAGTCAGTCAGCACTCATTTTCATTTGACTGTTCAATCTATCCATTATACAAAAAAATAACCCCTTGAACACTAGAGATTGCAACAGGGAGAATCAATACCAAAGTAAAAAACAGTGGGATTAATACATACCCTAACTAATATGATATTGGGATGGATGGATGGATGGATGGATGGGATGGACTCATGGACGAATAGATGAATAATGGAATTAATACTCACTAATCACAAATTGCAATCTTATTAATACTAACGAGATTAATACTACAACAAAAACAAGATCCAAACCTCAATCCCAAAAGATTTTGAGGTCATTTAACTAATGAGATTAATGCCTAACAGTGAAATTTAAAAACTTGACGAAGTGCACCACAATGTGGAACTAATAATACGATGTAGAACTAATAATGATTAAGCCCAATTACCCCATTATTCATACTAATCAGATGAAAATAATATGATTCGTATGAAAAGGTTGCTGATTAATTATCTATAAAAGTAGCAACTAAAAAGGAAACTAACCTCAAGACCTAGCGAAGTAGCGCAGATTTTGAGCTGAGCTTATGTCGGCGGAAGAGATGCAGACGACGGCTTGCGTGTGTGGCGACTCGGCGCAGGCGATGGCTTGAGGTTGTGAATGGTCGGGAGATGGTCGAAGGACTCGAAGGATAAGTGTTTGGGTGGATTCGAGGTTTTCTTTTATTCCAGATTCTTTAAATTCATATGTACCTGAACTTTGGACAGAATAAAATTTTGAAAATTAGAGTTTTGAATCTATATTGGGCGTGTTTGATACAAATATTGAATCAGTATAGTACCAAACTGGTATGGTATTGATACTGAATCTAACAATGAGATTTCAAACGGATATCAAATTTTTTATCCCGAAGCGGACTGTATCAGCTCCAAATCATGCCATCACTGGTTTTCATGAAATGAGAACATGCCTCTGAACCGGAGCAAAGTATGATTTAAAAAGCGTACATACGTATCACTATGTGGATTTAAGTTTTGTCATTTAAGTTTGGGAAAACTATCAAATAAGCCCCCGTACTATGCCGAAAAAGTCGATTAGGTCCTCGTACTTTACAAACACTCAATTAAGTCCTCGAACTATTAAAAAACTTTCAATTAAGTCCTTTTGGTCGGTAAGTAACTGGTTTCCCAGTTAAACGGCGACGACGGCGACGATGTGCTCGAACCCTAGCAATGGCGGCTGCCGGGAAACCGGTTACTTACCGACCGAAAGGGCTTAATTGAACGTTTTTTAGTAGTTCGAGGACTTAATTGAGTGTTTGTAAAGTACGAGGGCCTAATCGACTTTTTCAGTATAGTACGGGGGCTTACTTGATAGTTTTCCCTTTAAGTTTTGTACATCTCAAATTACATCTAAAATTCAGTAAATGTAAACGTGCATATGAAATTAATGTTTTGTTGATTTATGTTTCGTACTTCTATAGTTCATCTGAAATTTATTAATGATGAAATATGAAAATTGATAGATTGTGTTAATTTTTGGAGGATGGCTAAACTTTAATTCCCCTTAAACAATTGAAAAAGTGACATTGTTTTGTATTGATATGACACTGTACCGCCTAGTTTGAAAATGAAACCATATCGAACGGGGTTAGGTCTAAGACCGAACCGAACTGGACCGTTTAATAGTCACGGTACGAGCACAAGTTCAGCAAAATATTGGACCATCCCGGACTATGCCTGCTCCTGGGGGATTGTGTTAACGGGTTGTCAGAAGATGTTTGATAATTTAGCTATTTGGTCATAACAATTAGTAGAAATGTCATATTTTAAAATGGTATCTCAGAAATCTTCTATTTGCAGTGTTTCCATTTTAGCGGTTTCGTTAAAAAACATTAGGACCGAACAACTATATACCAAGCAAACAACGTTTTCACTTGTTAAAAATGCTAAAATAAGTCAAACCCTTACTTTTTACTTTTTTTTTACTGAAATGTCATTTCTAAACGCCCCAGTGTCAAAATGTCAAGTAAACAATTCAAGTTTTCTCGGATATATTTCTCTGCTGTGTACTGGTATATGATACACCCTTCGTGACTTCGTCGTGTAAACAAGTTTGGCGAAATTCACAAGAATAATCCGTACTTTTAGAGTTTCTTCAATAATAATCCCTAGTGAGAATTTCCACAAAAATAATCCAAACTAGCAATAGTGTTCATAAGAATAAATTGGGTGAATTCAAATTAATGCCCGTTTAATACTTTCAACACTTACTCCCACTTTTCTCTTCCCCGAGAAGAAGAGTGATGAATGGAAAAGTGGTAGGGGTTGGGAATATTAAATGAGCATTAATTTGAATTAATTTAAATTTATTCTTATGGACACTACTATTGCTAGTACGGAGTATATTTATAGACACCCTAAATATGTATTATTAATGTAGAATCCATAAAAGTATGGATTATTCTTGTGAATTTCACCAACAAGTTTTCACTTGTATATTACTCGTCTCCGTACTACGTATGTCATTACTAAATTGCTCAAGTTTACACGAAGGCTCCTTTAATTTCAAGAAACAAGTTTGTGCAAAATAATTTTTCTCGAAAACGTTTTCTTAAAATTCTAAAAATTAAGCCGTTCAATCAATGTATATCACTCCGTATTAAATAAGTCTGCACAAGTGCACAATGTATATTGTTTTAAATTTTTCATATGCAACTTCAAAACATAGTGAATGGTACATTTGAGCTTAGAGTGAAAATGAAGAGGAAGAAGAAACACAGTAAACTTACTTAAGCAATAGATAAATAAAAAATAAGACAAATGAATTAGTTCTTGTAGAATAACTAAATACATCAATACCTCTTTAGATTACTAATTTATCAATTGATCAATTTATAATCAACACTTCTCTAGAATTGGAATGACAAAGTCACCATCTACCTTGCTACTTTTGTTTTCATTCCCTTTGACAATCCTTGTTTCTTTCTCCTGTACTTCCCTTTCCAAGTTGAATCCTCTAGTATTTCGGCTTCCCATTAAGATTACCTCCAACAACTTTCTTCTAACATTGTAAATTCTGTTTGGCTCAATCAAACAACCTTGACTGTCATACGCTTCTCTCAGATAAACCATTTGAGAATCCCCCTTTGTAGATATGTAAAAAATCCCCGGATGGTTCAAAAGCAACTCACGGATATTCACTTCGATTCCTAGATCCTTCCGAAAATGAGCTAACCGTTCAACTCGAACCATCTTCTCTACGGTTAAACTCAGGAGTTCGTGAATGATTCCCACAGCTCTCTTTTCATACCTCTCTACTCCTCCACAACTACGAACATTAACGATGTTCGTTTTCTCATATGGCTTGATGTATGACATTCGTTGCCAATTGTTCAATTTGTCTTTAAACCCTGCCCCTTTTCTGAATCCTGTTGGGAAATTTATAGGGAATAAATATTTGACCTCAAATTCACTTAACCACCTCTCTGTATACTCTTTTTCCCGCCACTTTTCGACCTCGGCCACCATAGATGGTCTTTCACATTCCTTAACAGCCAATTCCACAAGTTCTAGATCCACCATTTTGAAATCGGTGTTATACTTCCTGATTATTGATTCTCGGAAATTTTCAGGAAACCCTAATTCATCTCTAATTAATCTGAGGGAATGCAAATGAAGGGTGCCATTCACAGACATGAGCAAGAGGTTTTTTATTCGAGTGACAGAGTCCTGTTCGAGTTGAGCGATCATGACCTCTTCTTCTCTTATTAGGGCAGTGAATTTCTGGGTAAACCTGAAACATCGGTTATGATAGGCAGGGTGCGTAAATACCTCAAAAATGTGAGGGTATTTCCTAATGAAAGCTCCCGCCGGTAGAGTTTTGATGCCGGCCTGTGGCGCCAACTTGGACAGGGACTGTATGGCGACGAAGGGACCCCGTTTTCTGGTGGAGACCAGGCGGTGGAGGTTGAGAATGAGATTGAGGCGGCGGCGGTTAGCAGTGAGGCGGTCAAGCTTCAAGTCCCTGGTGCGGTTCTCAAGTCGGGTTTGAGCAGTGTTTGCAGGCTTCATCCATCGGGTTTGGGTGGCAAAATTGAACGGCCCAAATGGGATTGCAGACTTAGAGGTTGACTTTCCGATCACAAGCAGTCTGTGCAAGATTTTCATTGTCCTCACCCACAGCACAAAGTAGCCATGCCACCATCCGTTAGGATTGCATATGACAGTTGACCAATTTCACAAATTTGGATGAAAAGGAAAACCAGGGGAAACCATAGCTTGCAATCTGCTTCATAGAAACGGAAATAATGTGAGAATTAAAAACATTAATGGGTTATTTTGAATATAATCTTGTACGAATACTAGAATTCAGTGTTTGCAAAATAAATATTTTAATGTATAAAAAAAATAACATATAGAATCACTTTTTGTTTTTATTAAATTGTCTAAAATGACCCATTTAAAAATTTACTTTTATTTCCGTCTCAAACTATATGATTTAATAATTTGCAAACTTGACATTTAAATAAAAACAAAAGATGATATCAAACAATAAGTAAAGCTTATTTTAAAATAGCTCCCAATCTAAGCAAGTAAAATCTCTCTAAAAGCAACCAGAAGTAAGCATTGCGTAAACAAACAAAAAATTGGAGATCATCATATTAACAAAATTCCTTTCATTGTTACATGGTTATATATTTTATAGATTAGCATTTATAAAACTGATTTTGTCCAACCAACTCATACCCATCAAATACAAAGATATAAACTCATAAATAAGTATGTCAGGTTTAGAACCAAACAAATTCCTCAAGTTTATATGAATGCTCCTTTTGATTTACAGAAATGAATTTGTAGAAACTGTCTTTTAGAAAATGTTTTCCTAAAATTAAGATGTTCAATATGCATAATATTTAACCAAAAAAATGTTGAGGAGCTATTGAAAGACTGCAGCCACTTTCTTCAGATAACACAGATTTATGTGTGTGTTGTTCTAACTTCTAATACTGCTGACAAATTAGGTTCGTTCATTACACATATTTCACTGCTCTTTTCACTCACAAGTAATCACACACACCTTAATATTTTTTGCACTACATAGAAGAAAATGCAGTCCTCAATCACAATTAAAGTATTATATACATATAAATAATGGAATAAGTTAGGGCCTGTTTTCTGTTTTGAAGTCTCCAGTTTTTTGTGATCGTTTTCCAGTTTTTTTGTTTTCCAAATCAGCACACATGATTACTAGAGTTTTTCAATTTTGCATTTCTTCTTTATCAGAAATCGTTGACTTAATATTTGGAAAAGAAAGTAACAATTATAAACATTTGAAATAACAATTACAAAAATAGTTACTTCATACTCCGTATTACTCTAGTCTCTTACTACATTTTCGAATACAATCAAAGGAAAAAGGGTTATTTAATCTATTAATACGTAGTATTAAAAATAGTTACTTACATCTGTTCACAAGGCACCTTATTGGACACAAAAGTAACTATCCATAGCCTCATCATATTCCTAATCCATCTCCTTCTACTCATTTTTTAAAATAAGAATAAAAAGACCAGATGTTTAGCTAATTTGATCAAAAAACGAAGTTGTTTTGTTAACAAGATACCATTGAACCCCCAAACACAATGCTGTAGGATATGTTTTTGTACAATCCTAACAAGCATATACGAGTCAATATTCAAGTTTGCAGCATCTACAAAAGCCTAGTAAACAACAACTAATTTAAGTCACAATAAGATAGTTTTTACAGCCCTCGGGGCTCACTATTGTTGGCCGCAAATGAACTAAATGAAGAAAAAGTTGAGTACAATAATCCCAAAAGCAAACCTTGTTAACAAAACAGGGGCTTGACTTGTTTTTTACAAACTGCATATGGTGGACTGCGAACAAATCTAATCTACTAACTGCTAACAAATCCAATCTACTATGGACCAATTTTTTTGCTTCCAAAACAAATGTTCCCTTATGAAGACATATTAACTTTTGTTAAGAAATAAAAATGCTTGAAACATGTTAATTACTAAACTGACCAGTTGAGAGCCCATTCAGATGGAGTTTTTTTTTTTACAAAACGTTCTGAAGGGTGGTGTATATCTTGACATATATTTCAGACTAAAGATCATTACTAGTATTTACTAGAAATGAAAATGCACACAAATATTTGTTTTCCACACGATGAAACACAGCAAACAATATAAAAGAATGAAGACAGAAAAGGAATTTCAGATTTGTTCACAATTAAAAAGTTGTCCGTTTTGAGCTTTGAGTCGTTCCCATAAAAAATGTTTGCATTCACCATCATCACAAATTAAAAGAAAATGCTCAAATAAGCTGTCATGTTATAACAAAAAAGGTCAATCAGGTCCTACTAAATAATCACCAAATCTGATATATAAACTTATGTGGGAAAGGTGTAACTTTTTCTTGTTATTGTCAATCTTAGTGGGACGGAGGTAGTAATATATAAAAATAACTTCAATTTCACTAAAAAGTAAATAAAAATCAAACCTTTTCTCGGTTTTCTAGTATTTCAAATTTTCTACAAGAATGAGAATTATAATCCAAATTCATAATTGTTCTCTACGGGTTTTCATAGACTGATATGACTTGATAATCACATTATTGACAATTTTGAATAAGATGTCTTTTTCTACGTAAACAAGAAGCCTATCATTCAGTCAGTCAGCACTCATTTTCATTTGACTGTTCAATCTATCCATTATACAAAAAAAAATAACCCCTTGAACACTAGAGATTGCAACAGGGAGAATCAATACCAAAGTAAAAATCAGTGGGATTAATACATACCCTAACTAATAGGATATTGGGATGGATGGATGGGATGGACTCGTGGACGAATAGATGAATAATGGAATTAATACTCACTAATCACAAATTGCAATCTTATTAATACTAACGAGATTAATACTACAACAAAAACAAGATCCAAACCTCAATCCCAAAAGATTTTGAGGTCATTTAACTAATGAGATTAATGCTTAACAGTGAAATTTAAAAACTTGACGAAGTGCACCACAATGTAGAACTAATAATACGATGTAGAACTAATAATGATTAAGCCCAATTACCCCATTATTCATACTAATCAGATGAAAATAATATGATTCGTATGAAAAGGTTGCTGATTAATTATCTATAAAAGTAGCAACTAAAAAGGAAACTAACCTCAAGACCTAGCGAAGTAGCGCAGATTTTGAGCTGAGCTTATGTCGGCGGAAGAGATGCAGACGACGGCTTGCGTGTGTGGCGACTCGGCGCAGGCGATGGCTTGAGGTTGTGAATGGTCGGGAGATGGTCGAAGGACTCGAAGGATAAGTGTTTGGGTGGATTCGAGGTTTTCTTTTATTCCAGATTCTTTAAATTCATATGTACCTGAACTTTGGACAGAATAAAATTTTGAAAATTAGAGTTTTGAATCTATATTGGGCGTGTTTGATACAAATATTGAATCAGTATAGTACCAAACTGGTATGGTACTGATACTGAATCTAACAATGAGATTTCAAACGGATATCAAATTTTTTATCCCGAAGCGGACTGTATCAACTCCAAATGATGCCATCACTGGTTTTCATAAAATGAGAACATTCCTCTAAACCGGAGCAAAGTATGATTTAAGCGTACATGCGTATCACTATGTGGATTTAAGTTTTGTCATTTATGTTTTGTACATCTCAAATTAATGTTTTGTTGATTTATGTTTCGTACTTCTATAATTTATCTGAAATTTATTAATGATGAAATATGAAAATTGATAGATTGTGTGAATTTTTGGAGGATGACTAAACTTTAATTCCCCATAAACAATTGAAAAAGTGACATTGTTTTGTATTGATATGACACTGTACCGCCTAGTTTGAAAATGGAACCATATCGAACGGGGTTAGGTCTAAGACCGAACCGAACTGGACCGTTTAATAGTCACGGTACGAGCACAAGTTCAGCAAAATATTGGACCATCCCGGACTGTGCCTACCCCTGGGGGATTGTGTTAACGGGTTGTCAAAAGATGTTTGATAATTTAGCTATTTGGTCATAACAATTAGTAGAAATGTCATATTTCAAAACGCTATCTCAGAAATCTTCTATTTGCTGTGTTTCCATTTTAGCGGTTCGTTAAAAAACGTTAGGACCGAACAAATATATACCAAGCAAACAACGTTTTCACTTGTTAAAAATGCTAAAATAAGTCAAACCCTTATTTTTAAACTTTTTTTTACTGAAATGTCATTTCTAAACGCCCGTGTGTCAAAATGTCAAGTAAACAATTCAAGTTTTCTCGGATATATTTCTCTGCTTTGTACTGGTATATGATACACCCTTCGTGACTTCGTGTAAACAAGTTTTCACTTGTATTATTGTATATTACTCGTCTCCGTACTACGTATGTCATTACTAAATTGCTCAAGTTTACACGAAGGCTCCTTTAATTTCAAGAAACAAGTTTGTGCAAAATAATTTTTCTCGAAAACGTTTTCCTAAAATTCTAAAAATTAAGCCGTTCAATCAATGTATATCACTCCGTATTAAATAAGTCTGCACAAGTGCACAATGTATATTGTTTTAAATTTTTCATATCCAACTCCAAAACATAGTGAATGGTACATTTGAGCTTAGAGTGACAATGAAGAGGAAGAAGAAGCACAGTAAACTTACTTAAGCAATAGATAAATAAAAAATAAGACAGATGAATTAGTTCTTGTAGAATAACTAAATACATCAATACCTCTTTAGATTACTAATTTATCAATTGATCAATTTATAATCAACACTTCTCTAGAATTGGAATGACAAAGTCACCATCTACCTTGCTACTTTTGTTTTCATTCCCTTTGACAATCCGTGTTTCTTTCTCCTGTACTTCCCTTTCCAAGTTCAATCCTCTAGTATTTCGGCTTCCCATTAAGATTACCTCCAACAACTTTCTTCTAACATTGTAAATTCTGTTTGGCTCAATCAAACAACCTTGACTGTCATACGCTTCTCTCAGATAAACCATTTGAGAATCCCCCTTTGTAGATATGTAAAAAATCCCCGGATGGTTCAAAAGCAACTCACGGATATTCACTTCGATTCCTAGATCCTTCCGAAAATGAGCTAACCGTTCAACTCGAACCATCTTCTCTACGGTTAAACTCAGGAGTTCGTGAATGATTCCCACAGCTCTCTTTTCATACCTCTCTACTCCTCCACAACTACGAACATTAACGATGTTCGTTTTCTCATATGGCTTGATGTATGAGTGTATGACATTCGTTGCCAATTGTTCAATTTGTCTTTAAACCTTGCCCCTTTTCTGAATCCTGTTGGGAAATTTATAGGGAATGAATATTTGATCTCAAATTCACTTAACCACCTCTCTGTATACTCTTTTTCCCGCCACTTTCCGACCACATCACAAAGTAGCCATGCCACCGTCAGTTAGGATTGCATATGACAGTTGACCAATTTCACAAATTTGGATGAAAAGGAAAACCAGGGGAAACCATAGCTTGCAATCTGCTTCATAGAAACGGAAATAATGTGAGAATTAAAAACATTAATGGGTTATTTTGTAGATACTCTTGTACGAATACTAGAATTCTGTGTTTGCAAAATAAATATTTTAATGTATAAAAAAAATATCATGTAGAATCACTTTTTGTTTTTATTAAATTGTCTAAAGTGACCCATTTAAAAATTTACTTTTATTTCCGTCTCAAACTATATGCATTTAATAATTTGCAAACTTGACATTTAAATAAAAACAAAAGATGATATCAAACAATTAAGTAAAGCTTATTTTAAAATAGCTCCCAATCTAAGCAAGTAAAATCTCTCTAAAAGCAACCAGAAGTAAGCATTGCGTAAACAAACAAAAAATTGGAGATCATCATATCAACAAAATTCCTTTCATTGTTACATGGTTATATATTTTATAGATTACCATTTATAAAACTGATTTTGTCCAACCAACTCATACCCATCAAACACAAAGATATAAACTCATAAATAAGTTTGTCAGGTTTAGAACCAAACAAATTCCTCAAGTTTATATGAATGCTCTTTTTGATTTACAGAAATGAATTTGTAGAAACTGTCCTTTAGAAAATGTTTTCCTACAATTAAGATGTTCAATATATGCATAATATTTAACCAAAAAAATGTTGAGCTATTGAAAGACTGCAGCCACTTTCTTCAGATAACAGTAGTTAGGGATGGACTGGGCCGGGCCGAACCGGCCCGGAACCGGACCGGCCCGCTACTGTGCGGGCCCGGACCGGACCGGGCCCGGTTGGCCGGTTCCGGGCTTTTAGCCCGTTTTGGCGGGTCGGGCGGGCCGGTTCCGGGCCCTGTTTTTGTTGAACCGGCCCGGGCGGTTCGGGCCGGGCCCGGTTCATTTTATTTTTTTTTTTTGGTTTTTTCAATTTTTTTTCTTTTCCTAGGGTAGGGCTGGGTGTTTTAGGGAGGTTTGGGGCGTGGGGGTGAGGGGGGGGGGTAGGGAGATAACAAGAAAGTCAAAAAAAAAAAAAAAAAAAAAAAAAAACATTGAACCGGGCCCGGCCCGGCCCGGCCCGGTTAGGCCCGGACCCGGTATCAACCCGGGCCGGTTCCGGGCCCATGTAACCCGAAAAAAAGCCCGCCCGGGCCCGGCCCGGAACCGGAACCGGCCCGGCCCGGGTCCATCCCTAACAGTAGTACTGTTATCTGAAGAAAGTGGCTGCAGTCTTTCAATAGCTCAACATTTTTTTCATAACACAGATTTATGTGTGTGTTGTTCTAATACTGCTGACAAATTAGGACCGTTCATTACACATATTTCACTGCTCTTTTCACTCACAAATCACGCACACCTTAATATTTTTTGCACTACATAGAAGAAAATGCAGTCCTCAACCACAATTAAAGTATTTTTTTTAACAGTTACAACATGACTGTTAATAAGCAATATGTAGTAAGGTCATGGAATCTAGAGAACACAGGAATTCCACAAATTGATCAATATTAAGATTGAAAGCCAATAACAGGATAATAATAATAATAATAATAATAAGAGCCTAAAGCAGGAAAGACAAAACTGTAATAGAACAACAATGACAGAGAGAGGTTTTGAATCTGCCATTACAACAAAATCTTTGAGCAAAGCCCACATTCTGCTCGCTCACTCACTCTTCTTGTTTCTCTTGCTCTTTAGCTTGATCGCCTCTTCTTTGGACTTCATCCCAACCACACTCTTTCTCTTTCCCTTCTTCACATCTAATTCATCTTTAGCCTTCAGGGAAGACTTCATCTTTTCCTTCTGTTTCTTATCCTCTGTGTCATCCCCCCTTTTCACTTTCTTTCTCTTTTTTTCACCATTCAAAACCTGACCTTTCTGAGATTTTGCCTTCTGGTCTTTCTTGGCTTTAAGCTTCGTAGGGACCAAATCATGCTCTTCCTCCTCCTTTCCCTTCCCACCCTCATTTTCGTCACTATCAGCATCACTCTCTCCTTCCACACTTCCCTCATTAGTGTCTAAATCCGTATTATTCTTTTGGATATCATCCTCAACATCTCCATCGTCACTCTCTGATTTGATTTCACCTATTTCAGCATCCATATACCGCACTGCACTAAGCCTCCCTTTCCTCTTTTTCTTGCCTGTCTCAGGGGTTTTGCCGGTCTCCTTAGCCTCAAGACTGCCTTCACCCTCAACCTCCTTTACCCCCATAATTTTGAGCTTCAAGTCAGGCAGTGCTTGATACAAAGGCAATGCAAGAGAGCCAGTTAGTCTCAAGTGAAAGCTCCTCAGGCCACCCCATCCCTTCGGAACAAAGTAAACAACACCATTAATGGCTTCCAAAACATTGTCAACAACCTCACCACTATCCATTGACAGCTTCCCAACCTTCATCACACTACAGGTCCCGGTGGATACATAAAACAAGCCCGACCCGCAGGCCCTCTCGACCTGAGCCTTCCAGTTCTTCTTCGTCAAGTCTACAGGCAAAGGCAGCTTCTTTTTCTTGAAAAAGATCTTTCCCAGAAGCTTCGGGAGGAAATGAACAATCCTCTTGTCCACCAACAACACGTCATAGGAACCGCAAAGTTTCCTTTTTGCCTCATAAGCCTTGTAATCTGTTCTCAGCTTTGAGAGCTTCAGGACTTTGCTTATGGGTACATCCTGGGACTTGATTATCTTCTTCGCTTCTGCTGAAGTCAGGTTGGAATTGGACCGGTCGTCGATGATGAGACAGCGCTCGGATGACTGGTCGTGGAGGGGGTGCGGTAGGGCGACTCGGAAAGCATTGGTTCGAGCCATCGGAGGGACTTTTTTGAGGGTGATGGTGAGGTAGATGAACTCGTCTTGTGGTAGAAGCTTCGGCGCTTGTTCCTTCGATTGTGCGTCCTTCCATTTGAGCAAGGCGGTAACAGCTTTCTCCACTGTGCCTCTTGTCACGTTACCACCGGTGACGGCGGCGGCTGGCAGTGTTTCTGTGGCCATAGCACCGCAGTGACGATTCTGAAAAGGTAGAAGGGCCACAATTAAAGTATTATATACATATAAACTAGTATAGCTCCCGTGCGATGCACGATGCATGAATTTAGTTTGTTCGTAATTAATTGGCATTTTATGTTAAAAGTGTGTCAAATTATGAAGATAAATAACATACATGAGAACAGTGTTCAAAAATAAATAGTAATTTATAAGTTGGTGTTATATATGGTAAGAATTACAGATTGTGAAACACTTTTTTTAAATGACGCTCATGGTGTCACCACTTCGACGATTGTCTTCGTTTTGAATAAGGATTTTGAGGCTTGCACGGTTCATAACTTTTGAAAGGGAACATACAATTGTCCATGATTAAAAACATGATTTCTTATAAAAGAATGCCCCGATAGAGTGATTGACATTGACTTTTATCGAACGTCATTGCATAAGAAGTCATTGTAAGGATATATCTCCTTTAAAATTTAAATGGAAGTCTAACTTTAGACGGTGTGAAGGATAGTCAATGCACTAAAATTTCTTGATCCACGCCCATACCATTAAGGACTTTACCCTCTAAGATGTGATCACACATCCTAATTTCATGAAAACATAGCTAAAATGATCCTCTACAATTATTTCAGTCAATACAGCCCGAAAAGTAACTCCTATCTTACATTTTCTTATTCTTACACAATTCAGCGCATGAGCTCAAAAGTTACGTGTTTGGTGAAAAAGTTGACCGATTAGCCTGATAAGCTGAAAAACGGGGTCACCAAACACAGTTTTGATATTCTAGTCCTATTACTTTCGACTGTTATCATGATCGGTCTTGTAACTTTACTCGCTTTCAAAACTGATCATGTAACTAATAATTTTTTTATATTTGAAGACTTTTCCACCGGATAGTGTACTTTCCAGAAAAAAAATATGATGTCGATGACATTTTCCCTTGTACTACGCATATTTTTGGCACAAAGTGCACATTTAGGGCGAAAATCCTTCACTTGCTAAGATTTATTAGTTATAAGATCAATTTTGGAAGTGACTAAAGCAGTGTTTGCGGTTGCTTAAAAAAAGTGCTTTTCAGTTTTTGGCTTTAAAAAAGTTAAAAAGAGTGTTTTTAAATGATAGCTTCTGCTTAAATTAATCACTTAAAAGCTAAAAGCTGGAAGCAGGTGGAAGGGTGCTTTAAACTACTTATTTTATCAAACACTACCAACTTTTACTTTTTCAGAATTACTTTTTTCTCAAACACTACCAACTTTTACTATTAATCACTTTTCCCAAAATCACTTTAAAAAATCATTTTTTTAAAGTTGAAACAATTGCAAACACTCCCTAAAGCTATGAGACTAATAATGAAAAAACCGAAAGTTAAAATTAAAATTTAACACTTGAAACTAATAATTGATACTAATGAATAAAAAGGGAGCCCATTTGATTTTATAGATTCCACTGACCCAATACACATATTGTTAACCCATAAGCCCATCAACCCAGAGAATCGCAAATACACTCCCATTGGAGTAGGGTTAGGCATTAAACTTCGTATAACCTCCCTCCATTGTCGGCTCGCTACCTCGCTGCCCTAAGCGTATACCTCCTTAGGCTTCACCAAAAATTCTTCCTCTTGTTTAAAGAGTTACGCCTGCGCGATGTCGATCCCCTTCTACGATTTCAATAAACCCGTGCAACAAACTTTCAAGATTACAACCAAATTCC